ATATACTAAAAATAAATATTTGTATTTAATATATAATATTGTAAATTGATAGATTTAAAAAACTTAATAATCAAGTTTTTGTTTGATTTTGCCAAGCATATAAATTGATAAATTCAAAAGCTTAATAATCAAGTTTTTGTTTGATTTTGCCAAGTACTAGTTTATACTATACAAGTATATTTGTATGCATATAATAAATACAAGTTGTTAAAAAATTAATTATTAAAGTCAGACAAAAATATTTTTTTATTATATAAAATATATAGTCAAATCTTTTTATAGTTATCTCTTATATAAGTATATTTTTTTTATAAATATATTTTTTAAAAACAATCTATTATTAATATAATAAATTTGATTTTTAAATTGTTATACTTCTTTATAATTATACACTTTTGTATTCCGAGTATGTGATTATAGAAAGATTTAACTGTATAAAAATTACTATTATATTTATATAATAAATTTTACAATAGATTTTTTTAAAAACATAATATAAATAAATTTATTATTTTATCAAAAAAGTTATTAAAATAAGGTTTATATAATTTAGCACATATGTATTATAACACACCTATCTAATTAACCAATCAGATCATACAGTAGAATTAGATATAATGTGAAATCAAAAAATAGCAATATTTTTAAAAAAACACTTGTAGCTCAAAATCTCACTTATGAAACTACCTTTTATATTCTAACAAAAAATTTTTTTTTCAAAATTTTGGGTTAAAACATTTTTGCTAAAATACTCTACTCTAACTTTCTAACTATGTATAATCTAACTTTCACTCTAACCTTAAACTAATGAATTAATTTATTGTTTTAATTTTACATTATACCAAATCTTATAAGATGCATCATATTGCATATATAGTAAAATTTTAAAATAATTATATTTTTATTAATAAGCTAAAAATTTTAAAAATTATTTTGTAAAAAAAAAGTTTAATAATAAATATTTAATATATAAATCTTTTTGTATTAGACTATATTTTTATTAATAAGTTAAAAATATTAAAAATTATTTTGTAAAAAAAGGTTTACTAATAACTATTTAATGTATTAACCTTTTTGTATCAGACTACATTTTAAGTATATAAGTTGTTTATTATCTTCTTGATTTACATTGTTTTGATATAACAACTAATATTAAATTATAGACAGAAGTTTATTTAATTGGCTAATAAATTTAATTTAATTTTATATTATTAATATAGTTTAAAGTACTTTTAATTTTTTAGTTTGAAGAATGTTTTATTAGAGTTTAATTTCAGTTTCTATAAGATTATATCAAGCTGCATATGCACTTTTGTGTCTAATTTAAATAGTTTGCCTATTAAGTGTTTTATACTAACTGCTATATCTATAATATAACTACAGAGTTATCTATTTAAACTATCTAACTACAATCTAACTCCAAGCTAATAGAAACTCTAACTCTGGTATCACTTAATATTTGGTAATATATTTGTATCTACTATTTGGATTTTGCACTCTGCTTTAGAACTTATTAACTTTATAGCTAGTCTATCTTTAAGGTAAACCTACTAGAGTAGTACATATATACTTATATATTTATTTAAATTCTTTATTAATATATACTATAACAGAACCCTAAAATATACATAGATAGATTAGATTTTAGTTTGCTTATTTTTGATTCTTTTTGTATAGATTATTTTTATTTATAGTGATTAGTTTGCTTATTTTTGACTTTTTGCTTGCTGATCTTTCTATATTTATTAATTTTTGTAAAACATTATTTCTTTATATATTTTGAAGTCTTAGAGAGCTGACAATTATCAGGTGATTTTCTAGGAGGGGAGTCAAAAAAATAAAACTTTATATATAAGAACTGATAATTTATATATTAAAAACTAGGAAGAGAGATAAGCCTCTAATAAAAAAAATTAGGTGATAAATAACATTGCTCCCACTACAACTTAGCTTGATACTTGGAAATTACTCTTATATTTACCTATTATTGCTTTTGTATAGTTTACTATTATTAAATCTAGTATCCACTTTGTTATATTTTTCTTAGCTATATCTCTGGTTTCATTAAACTACCAATCCAGTTTGCCTAATAGAGTTGGTCTGCTTAGGCTTTAAATACTTTATAGTCTCTTTTCTCTTGGTATATACCTTTGAAAAATATATGCTTTTTCTCTAATATACTCTAGTTATGATATCTAGTTTCTTCAGTTTTTAGTTTGGTCTAATTTGGGTTTATAGTATTATTGTAATGTTTCTAATAAATCTGAGTTCAAAGTTTATAAACATGTTCAAAGTTTCAAATAAAAAAGAAAGCATATAATCGCAAAAATAAAAATACTTATATCATATGATCTACTAGGCTGATTTTAATGTTTTAACTACCATTTTGTTTCCAAGATACTTCTCTACAGCTTTATTTAGGCATTGAAAAGAGGTTTACTTGGTAAAGAATCTCTAAATTTAAAAATTTTTTATCATAATAAAATTTTTAAAACATTTTTCTTTACTAAATAAACCTTTTTTCAATTTCTAATTAAGGTTGTGGAGGAGTATCTTGTAATAAAAATAGTGATTAAAATGTTAAAATTAGCCCAGTAGATTGTGAAATATAAGTATTTTTATCTTTGTGATTATATGCTTTCTTCTTTATTTGAAACTTTGAACATGTTCATGAACTTTAAACTTAGGTTTATTAGAAACACTACTTTATATGGGTTCAAAATGTTGTATACTAATAAATCAACATGTTGATTATTTTAATTTTATATGAAAAATCCATGTTTATAAAACATATTCTTATAGTAATATATAATTTGCATATTGCTTCACTAATGTTTTTTAAATTAAATCTATACCCAAGAACCTTATTTATTAAGCCAAAAAAACTTTGTTTACTAATCTTTTGTAGTTTAAAAAAGATCTTTGATTGAAGTTAAAGTAGTTTAATTTTTATAATATAACAACTTACAGAATATAACTTACTTAATGGCTGGTATTTTTTTCAGTGCAGTTGTTTATCAATAATAAACTAATAACAAGTTCATTTCAAATATGCAAACATTTTTTTTAGAATGCCTTAACTGCTAAGTAGTTTAATTGTTAGAGTCAAGACCTTTATTTATTAAGCTAAATATATTTATTTCAATCTTGTGTAATTCAAAGATCTTTATCTAAAGTTAAAACATCCTAGCTTCACATATGATCTAACCAAATGCAGATAAGTTCTAATCATCAAAATTACTGCCAATATGCCTGTTAATAACTTACTTTCTAGTATATGATAAGTATAAACTAGGTATTTGGGCTTCATTGCCAAAACTAATAAAAAAAGTAAAACAAAAACATGAAAATACAAACAAATTAGTTATACAATTATACAAATATTTAATCAGAATTATTTATTTAACTTAAAATTAAGCAATACAATATTTAAATTTACATTTTGAACAGTTAAATATATAGTTATATGATTATACAATTAATCAGAATTAATTATTCAACTTAAAATTAAGCAATACAATATTTAAATTTATATTTTAAACAGTTAAATATACAGTTATACTATTGTACAAATATTTAATCAAAATTAATTATTTAACTAATGCAATATTTAAATTTATATTTTAAATACAGTTATACAATTATACAAATATTTAGTCAGGATTAATTATTCAACTTAAAATTAAGTGATAAAATATTTAAATTTATATTTAAACAGTTAAATTTACAGTTATAAATTATAAATATATGTAATCGGGATTAATAATTCAACTTATAATTAAGCAATACAATATTTAAATTTACATTTTTACTAATTATGAATATAAATTGTTTATTGATGTAAAATATATGCAGGACATATACATATATATATTTTCATGATCCTATTACTTATAACACCTATTTAACATAAATTATAGATATCTCTAACTGTAAAAGTATCTTCATTATATACTTTTTACCCAAATTACATGTGCAGAAAGGAATATTCTTAAAATATACTGATTCTTTTCAAAGCATATATTTTAATCTTTGCAAAACATACAACTCAACAATATTTTAATCCAGTTTATTTAAGCACAAGATAATTCAATACCCAAAGTGTAAAGAAAAATTCCTTTAATAAAGTAGATGCTACAATAAACATAGAATTTATAGAAAATATAGAGGATATAGACATAGAAGACATGGAGAATACAGATGAAATAGATTTTACAGATTATATAGATGAGGATACAGATAAAATTGAAAACATAAATATAATAAAAAATATGAAAAGTTCTAAATATGTAGAAAATATTGTTGATAGTACAGATATAAAAAATGTAGTTATCAGTACTAGTAAATGTAAAAATCTCTCCTGTAGTGGGCAATTATAAAAGTAATAAACCATCACCTGTATAGAAATATATAGAAAAAAATAATAGCTGAAAGTAAAGTAATAAAAAAAATATGCAAACTATATTGTCAAAAATATAGCCCACAACATTCACTGGAATTCTAAGTAATTATCTTAAAAAACAAAATATTATACTTAGTTTAAAAAGTACTATTTAAGTTTAACTGAAAACCCATAAAGATGCTAAATATAAAAAGATTGCTTTAATACTATCTTTAATCTTATAATTGGTACCCAACTTCCATTTAAGTTTGTTAAAAATAAATATGTTTATAAAATGTTAAACATATAATTCAAGATATGTGTTACCAACTCATAAACATATAAAGAGTATAACCATATCTAGGTTTGAAGCTTATCATAAACAGGTTGCAGAAGAGCTTAAAAATCTTACTACTAAAGTTGCACCTACCATGAACACTTGGATATTAAGTGCAAATCAAGCATATATAGCTATAACTATATATTATATTGATGACAAATAGAATATGCATCATTTCTTGCTTGACCTTTTCTGCTTCGAATATAATCATATTGCATAGTGTATAAAAGATATTCTTGTAAATACTTTTAATGAAATGAAAATTAGTAGTAAGGTAGAACCCCGAAATATTTATGTAGGGTAATGTTTTAGTTTGCTTATTTTTGATCCTTTTTGTGCAGATTATTTCTATTTATAGTAATTAGTTTGCTTATTTTTGACTTTTTTCTGCAGATCTTTCTAAATTTAGTAATTTTTGTAAAACTTTACCTCTCCATATATATTTTGGGGTCCTAGTAAGGTAATCAAGATAGTATTGCTCTATTTATTTTATATAAAAATTTAATAGAAAGATATAGCTAAATTTCATCACCATTATTGTGCATCTCATGTCATCAATTTCACTATAATAAATAGCATAGTGCACTATAATGATGCAATTAGTAGAGCCTGGAAATTTGTAAAAAGTATTCAGAATTTGACAGTTATGAGTAACAAACTTCAAGATTTTTGAATGATAAATCACAAAAAGTATAGCATGCTAATACTTGATGTAATTACATGATAAATAGCATCTACTAAATACTTTTTTGATTCAAAAAAATGCAAGATGAACTTAATCTTCTTAAAACTGCATATTCAGATCTTAAAAGCAGTTACTCTAAAAAAGTGAGTGAATAAGCATTGATAAGGCCATACAAACTTATACTATTGGTTTTCATATCACCAAGTAACTTTTTGTGACCTGGCAACCCAGCTTTTAATTTTATTTTCAAAAAATTTTATATATAAAAAACATATAAAATTTTTTTACAAAAATTTAAAAAAGTTCACCGGATAATAAATATAGTAAAAATTTTTTTTCAAACTTTTGTTGAATTTGACCCAGCCGGGTTATGAGAACCAATAATATAAGTTTGTATAGCCTAATATTATTTACTTATTAAAGCCAATACGTGATACAGCTAAAATGCTTTTAAAAAGTCATACCCAACTATTAGTGTTGTCTGTTTGATTATTAAGGGTATCTTGCAACATTTTAAACAATTTATATTTGACAACTCAGATTCAAAAGAGATGGCAGAATCTATTAAAGAAATGTTAAATAAATATTGGGTTATTTTTGACTATAACAAATTAACAAAGATAGCTACAATTCTTGATTCTGTATCTAAATTAATGATATTTCTGAATTCTACTGAGAAAGATAATGCTATTGCTAGTCTGAAAAATATAATAGTTCAGTATGAACTATCAGAATTAGTGACAGATACTACCTACACATCATTAAAAAATAAAAGAAAAAATTTGTATCATTAGTATTGCAACAAACAACCAAACTACTACCAATTCAAAATATTTGTTCACACCAATTATTAAAAATAGTTCTAATTCTCTTTAGTAGTAGGCTGATAATAATAATAGATTCCTAACACTTGCAAAGATAGCATGAAATTATCTTGAAATAAAAGAATCAACATCAGAAAATTTTTTTTATTGCAGTTCTGCGCAGATTTGCAAAAAAAATCAAATAATAAATCAAATGAGAATCTGTACAAAACTTCAAATTTGATACTATAAATACAGAAATTAGATGCAATTTTGTATAAAGCTTCAAATTCTAAAAAATTTTGCAAATTTTTTATAGCAATTCTTCAAAAATCTGCAAAAATCCAGATTTTTACAAATTTGCACTTATTTAATTTTCCTGATGAAGTGTTTCTTGTGAAGAAATATTTTTCACTGCTTCAAAAACAATTTCAAAGCTCTGTAATTAGTGCTCGCCAAAATCAAATAAAAATTTGACTATCAAATACTTAATAAATATTTGACGATCATAATTTCCAAATC